GTTTGTAGATGGGGAGGAGAGGAGGGGGTGAAGGGAGGGCAGAGGTAAGGGGAAAAAAATGAGAATCAAGACTTGCCATGTAAAGGTACATGATCCCAACAATGAATGTAACTGTACTGTATCCCTAAATGTACCAATAAACTCAATTAAAAAAAAAAATAAGACAGAGTTTCGCTATGTAGTTAAAGGTGCTCTTGAACTTGTAGCAATTCTCCTGCGTCAGCCTCCCACGTGCTGGCGTTATAGGCAAGCAAAACCATGACTGGATGTTCTTTTTAAAATCATTTTCATTTTCCAAATATAAATCCAAAAAGTGTATTCTTCAATACAATATGCAATTTGTTTAAAACAAAAAAAATTCTTATTCAATTCAGATAGTATTTAAATTTTTCTACAGAAATGATTCTATTGCTGGTACCTAGAACTAGAAAGTGCATACAACTCTAAAGTGTTGCTTTTTATTGAGAACTACATTTAAAACAGAACAAGACAATAATGCTGATCTCAGTTTTGAAACTAGTGATACAGACAGCCACTCAGTCATACAACAAATATCTAAGTAAGATCCAGAGGAACTACCAAGCAGAAAGGGGACAAAATCATTAGTGCTATTCCCAAGATTTAAAATGGGTATCCCCATTATCTAGAATGTTCTTCTTTCAAATCTCCACAGGGTTTGCTAACTTTGATATTTAGATATCTACTCAAATTACCTCCTCAGAGAAGTCAAGAGGGAGCAAATTCAACTTCCTCTGTACAACTTCATCCTATTTCAAATATATTACGTTTTCTTCATAACATTGATCAGTTCCTGAAATTATAATACTTGCTTGCGTCTCTGTTGCCCCTTCTGCATTAGAAGTCTGTAGTCTAAACCTTATCTAGCAAAGACTTTGACCGTGCTCTGTATGTTTCAAGGCAGTGAAAATTTGTACAAACCAGATGGTGACCACCTGAGTTAAAGCATGGCAACCTAAGCTCCACATATGACCTAATTCATCTTGTTTGGCACACATTTCTTAACAAAATTTCAAGTACTCAAAGATACTTGAGAAAATGGCTATTTACATAAATATTCAAATTTCTACCACTTTAGGAAAAACTAAATTATCTGGCAAAACTGGATCTACAAGATAACAACTGGTATACACTCCGGCAGTTTACAATCACTGACTACTATTTATCAATCTGAAAAAAAGCATTCATTCACTTTTACTGCATTTTCATGCATATATGAGTTTGCCACTATGGGTTTATCAATATTAGAGAATCTACAAAGAAGTAAAAACAACAAGTAAATATATGAAAAAATGTTCCACATCACTGGTCATTCAAGAGATGCAGATGAAAACACACTGAGATTCCACCTCAACCCACAAAGAGTGGCTGCTATCAAGAAGTCAAACAATAACAAATGTTGGCGGGGTTGTGGGGAGAAAGGAACCCTTCTCCATTGTTGGTGGGAGTGCAGACTGGTGCAACCACTATGGAAATCCATATGGAGACACCTCAAAGAGCTGGGACTAGAGGTTCCATTTGACCCAGCCATCCCTCTGCTGGGGATCTTTCCAAAAGAATTAAAAGAATCATATCACAGAGATATATGCGCATCCATGTTTATAGTGGCACAGTTTGTAATAGCTAAGACTTGGAAACAGCCCATTTGCCCATCAGTTGGAAACTGGATAAAGAAGATGTGGTTTTTCTATAAAATGGAATATTACTCAGCCATAAAGAATGAGCAATTAAATTCATTCATAGGAAAATGGATACATACTGAGGATATACTTCTAAGTGAAATAAATAAGTCACACATGTAAATACCAGATAGTTTCTCTGGTGTGAATGAACTATAACAGTACATAAGATCCTAATGATATAATGGACAATGTGAAATAGGAAGAAAGGGGCTAAAGGTGTAGGGAAAGTGGGAAGGGTAGGGGAAAGCTAATAAGGGGAAAAATATGAGAAAATGAAAAAATGGAAATTAAGTGTTTGTAAAGGAGGAGGGGAGGAGGGGGGAAGAGAGGGCAGGGACAAGGGGAAAAAATGAGAATCAAGACCTGTCATTTAAAGGTACAAAATCCCAATAATGAATGTAACTGTGCTGTATACCTAAAATGTACCAGTAAACTCAACGAGGAAAAAAAAATTAGAAAATCTAATATATGTTCTGGAACACTTTACCTAATGTAGTCAACCATTTTATTCCTAAAAAAAATGAGGTAAAATAAAAAGTTTTTTATTATCATTACATATCTGATACTTTATACAAAGTCCTTTGGAAATTTAATGGCAGTCTACACTAGACCACGTCCAGGATTTTCTTAAAAAAGTACAGAGCTTCGTTGATAGAACAGATTGTTACATTTCTTTAAAGGGATTAAACATTTGTTTAAAAAAGAACCTAACACATTGGAAATTTAATCAACTATATTTACTTTTCCTACACTAGGGTTAAAGTGCGGAGGAAAAAATCAAAGGAAACAAACAACAAAGATCCTTTAAGCTCTGTGATGTGCTATGGGTATCACACAGGATCTGAAAACTCTACCTTTTATTAGTAAAAAGCTGTATATAGCAAGACCTGTTGCTCATAATGGTGACCCCAACCACTGCAGTCATGGTCATGCAAATAAATATGTAATTATATCCTGGAGCACTCTATTTATGAGCAGAAATAGGTATAATAAACACCTGCATGATTTTAATGTACCAAAGTTGTTTTTTCATTTAACAACAAAAAAATCATTTATATTCCATTGCATAGTTTTTCAAAGATGTATTTGAAATACAAGTGTCATACTTCTTTAAATGTGTTTTATTGCCAAATGTCAGTTATTTTTTAAACAATACAAAATGGCAGAAGCTTCACACCTATTGTTAAACCTTATAAAATCTTAATATTTTGCCATATACTTGCATATATATTGCTTTTAAAAATTAAAGCATTACAGATACCATTC